GCACAATGTATAAAACACTGGACTGGACAAAGAAGTGAAGAAGAGTGGGTGGAAAGACAAAAGACACTTCTACAAAACACTGGCAAGTGAAGCAGAATAGGCTGCAGGTAAGAGAGACTTGACAATATTGTATCAAATAACCAGGTTGCTATCTGGTAGGGAAGAGATCAACGCAGACGAAGCCAATAAAAGATGATGACGGAAATTTAATTACGAAACAAGAGAAACAAAGGAAACGATGGTCTGGCCGACCACTTCAAGAAGCTCTTGAATCGACCATCACCTGCAACTCATCCAGAAATATCACCAGCATCCCAGTCACAGAACGACCAGTGAACACAAGCCCTCCGACGAGAACAGAAGTGAAGTCCTGAGCGTCACAATGTACCTGAAAACCAGAAAGCAGCCGGACCAGATGGAATTCCTCCAGAAGCACTGAGAACAGATGCAGAGGCATCAGCCTACATGCCCACAGCACTATTGCACATGGTTTGGAAGGAAGGAAGGAAAGGTACTTGCCGATTTTTCGGAAGAAGGGCTACCTTGTCAAACTCCCAAAGAACGGAGACCTAATTGTTTGCAAGAACTGGCGCAGAATCATGCTACTGTCCACCCGAAGTAAGCAAAATATTATGCCGCATCATCCTGGAGAGACTAAATGATGCGCTGGATTCAAAATTACCACCGGAAGAGGCTGGATTCAGAATCAAATTGCAATGCTACGCTGTGCATCATCATAGATCAGAGCATAAAATGCCAGTTAACTCTCTACCTCAACTTCGTCCATTTCGAAAAGGCTTTTGACAACGTCGACCGAGAAGTAATTTGGCAACTGCTTCAGTACTAAGGAATACCACAAATTTTTATCACTCTCATTCAACAACTATATGAAGACGCCACATACCAAATAATTCACAATGGGAAGCTCAGTGATGCCTTTGAAGTTATGACAGGCTGACGGGTAAGACAAGGCTCTCTACTATCGCCCATGATCTTCCTAATTGTGGTCAACTGGATCATGCAACAAACAGTGAGGAGCGAGAAGAGGGGATACGCTGTTTGACTGAAGGAAAGATCCTAGAAAATTTGGATTTCGCTAACAGTGATGACTTATGTATAATGTTACACAAACTTGAAGATCTACAGGCAGAAACCAACAAGTTGACAGAAGAGGCAGGGCAGCGAAGACGGGACTTCAAGTGAACGTGGGGAAGACAGAGGTGATGAAGACACCCAACCAACGCCTTCAACAACAAGCTCCAATCACCATCAACGGGAGAAACTTAAAGGAAGTTGTCTCTTTCACCTATCTAGGCAGGCAGCACCGTTTCAACTACAGGTGGTGGCACAGACGAGGACGTCAAAGCTAGGATCGCAAAAGCAAGACATGTCTTCAGTAACCTGAAATCAGTGTGGAGATCTACTGCACTCAGCATTAAACGTGAACGAGATCCGGATTTTCAACACTGATGTCAGTCAGATTAGTGCTTCTGTGTGATGGTTGAGAGACTTGGCGCGTTACGAAAAGCATTACCAACAAACTGCAGATATTCATCAACAACTGCCTATGCTCGATGCTGATGACCAGATGGCCAGAATAATAAGAATAAGCAAGTTGTCTGTAGAATTCCTCCTCCTTCTTCTCTTCATCTGCATTATCTGTAGGTGCATAGCATAGCGTAGCATTGTATGATTGTGACTTTCCTTCCTTTTGAGTTGACTCCATCTTGTTGTCATGATCCTGATCCTGGAGGAGATTGGTTCCCACTGCATCAGAGAGAGCCTTCGATGCTCTCGGGGATATTATGATAACCACTCCAAAATCCAGTGTGCTCGTGGTTGTCGTCTGGGTGGCAATATCGGAGTAGATTGTTGACTCTCCAGTTGACAGTTTTGGGAGTCCACTCCCATTCCATCTGTTCTCGCAGATTCCTAGCACTTCAATGCTATATCTTCTCATCTTTGCAATCTGGGCAGCCTTGCTAGGTTTCCATATGGTGCAGACATTCCATGTCCCCAATCTTACTTTTGCTTTCATCGGGGGAGAGGAGACACGTTGTTCAAGTGGCTTCCCGAAGGCTTTCAGCAACTGATGTCATTTCGTCTCTCCGATTCCAGCGAGGAATAATTTTGTTTGTATTTTTTATATTTCGTCTGTGCTTTGAAGTTTCTGTAGTGGTTGATTGGTTTCCCAGGGTGGTGTCACTAGCCCTATGCCCAACCTTCCCTCTTTACCCGGGCTTAGGACCGGCTAGTAACGGGTGAACTATCAAACTAGGAGAAGTTGCTTATCACACTGTGAATTATAGACATCTTATTGAACTATATTTGTTCCCTACCTGTCCTTTTATACACTTTTATCTATATGTCAAGTGAATTTCAGCTAGGATTGTGTATTAGTATCACTAATAAATGTAAAGCGATAAAGGAAATTCAGATTCTGGCAACGCATATGATGAAATATTTTAATTACAATCAAAGTAGTCAAGTTAAGTAATCTCGTCTGTTCAGTCCTTTTCATTAGGTTTTTGCTTTGAGGTGAGTGTGATTTCTTCATTTTTTAAGCATCTTTTGGATGCAATGGATGGATATACCGTTTATTCCGGATATAACTTTATCAATTTGCATGTTCAGTTATATAAATCCTTGACGAGGTCATGAGTGCGTACTGTTGATTTTCAATGGTTCTCCGAATGATGTCGATCCATGAGAAATATCAACCTGAGTTCTGTCTGCGTTGAAGAATAAACACTGAAGTTGAAATCAAACTTATGCAGTTGTAAGATTTAAACCAGTCCAGTGAATTGAGGATTGTTGCCTGACATCCTACAGTAGTCAAGGTGTTTCCTTCGTATATGTTTCGAACTACCATCAACAAAAAATAAGTTGCCAGATAAAACACATCAACGGTCTCTATTTTTTATAGATTTGACTAAATTCTAAAAAGAACATGCATGGAAATTTTTTGCGAAAATAATGGATGTATTTGCTTGGTTGTGGTTCGCCATAGAGTCGGGAACTCATCAGCAAGATGCGCCCACATCCCAGTCAGTGTTGTTGTTCCCACTGTGATATGAACTCCGGCATTCATCTTCTGAAGTGATGGATACCTTTGCTAGCCACCAGCAATCAAAGTTAAACATAATGAATAACGATTGAGAAAAATCAAAATTGCCAGAAAAGGAGATTGAAAATACTAGTTCATAAGATTCCTTTAGCTAACTATATTTAGTCTAATGGGACTAAGTAATTAGGTTAGAAATAGTTTGACCACTATAAACTAGTGACTTTAAAGACCACCGTAACAACAATTGAAATAAATAATTAGATTTCCCTATTTTGTGAAAATCTGCCTTTCCAGACGAAATCGAGAAGCCTAGTTGGTCATTTTGATTGTTGCTGGAGTGGCCTTTAAAGTCGCTCCTATAAACACCTGTATTGATGATGACAAGCTAAGCTGAATTCATCACCAGAATATCAGAAGTCTAAGATATCTTGTAATAGTATATAACTGTATTCTCGTATATATATATATATATATATATATATATATATATTTGTGGTCATACATCACAACTTGTAAACCTAATGTATACATTTGGCTGGTTAACTTAGAAAAAAACAAACCAGCCGAACAAACAATGAAATAGGAGAGAATCGGAGGAAATCATCACATATAAGGATTGATGAAGGAAGATGAAACTAGTAATAATAACCTTCTGTAGTTATCTAGGAACAATTAAGTGGAAGGTGAAGAAATAAGTTAGATAAATTGAGTAAAGCAGAAAATTTTTACTTCTCATATTATTTCTTGTAAAATGGTAATGAAATAATACAGAAAAAGTTGGATATATTAATTATAACAGTGAGTAAAAGACATAACTTTTGTAGTATGCTGTCTGTTCTCAATACTTTTGTATACTGGGATGTTATTCATGTCAACTAGATGTTTGAGCTATGAAACAGTTTATCAATGATATTACTTATTGAAATTTTTTATGGATGATAACCTTGTCACCATTATTGGTAATATGTTTAGTATACTGTACTTTTAAAAATAGTAATCATATTTTATTTAATCAAAAATTATTGTTAAAGGGTGTTTTTTTTTTCAAGAAGAAAAGGTGAATTCAATTAAATGACGGTTAGAGGAATTTTTCATAATCATTTGTCTTTGTTGTTGTTAAAATGTCTATGATTAAAAAATATTATAAAGAGGAATGAAGGAATATTTTTCAAATATTACATGTTATATTTTGAGAAAATAATAAATAGGATAAGGTATTATAGTATGGTGGTGGTAAATGGTAATAGTGGGTTAACTAAGCACTATTGACTTTAAGTCAATCACCTATTTTGTGCACTATGTTCACTAACAGCTAGCTAATGTTACTACAACTAATAATTTGCTAACTGCTGCTGCTACTACTACTACTACTTATTACTACTCTTTTGGAAATAGAGATTGTCTTTGGATGAATTCACAGTAAACTGTGATATAATCTATCTATTATAAAGTTTACAATTATGAAATAAGGATACATTGAATAACCTGACACAGCCTCATAGAATATTTTTTTTATTCAATAGTAGGTGAAGGAGAGGATGTTATTAAGTGGAGAAAAATACAAATTTTTTTTGATAGAATATTCTATAGTAAAAAGAAACTATGCTATCAGACAGGTGAATTTTTTGTTATTGTTGAGCCAATACTATTCACTTTTTAATACATTCACTACATATGTGACTAAGAATTGAGATAGAGTAAAAAAAAACAACTAATAAACCATGACAAAAATCGTAATAAACATGAGATGGTGATGATGATAATTATATTCAGTAACATATGAGTGATGTTAGCGAAAGGCAATAATAATAGTTAATTGGCAATATTAATTATAACAATAATAATAATAATAACAATAGTCATAATTAGTATACTTATTGTTTTATTCAAAGACGGGAAGGGATTAAAATGGATGCGGATAAAATTTATTTTATTACAATGTTGTTTTCTCAGTTACACCTACAACAGAATCAGTTTGACGGTCTTCTTCATCCTTTTCATCATCAGCATCATCATCATCACCATCATGATTATTATTATTATTATTATTGTATTTAAAGTAAACTTCTGGTTGTGATTGAAGTAGTACAGGATCTTGATTACTTTTCAAGATATCTATCGGTATAGAATTGAGTAAAACAAATGAATTAGATCTATTCAATTGATGACTAAATCTTTTCATTTGATTATTTCTTTCACGTAATTCACCAAGTTTATTTGCATTATTGGCACGAAATGCATTGATTACACGAAGCTGATTGTATTGCATGTTATTTAATATGATTTATAAAAGAAAAAGAAACGAAAAGAAAGAAGTAATCATTAGTGAAAGTAAATATCTATATTGTATGCATGCTATGCTACAAACATTCTACATAATTAGGTGATTAAGGAAACATTCGAATAAGGAAAATAAAATTTCATGAATACACACATGTGTATTCACTTTCGAGCAATTCAGTTATATTTTGTTTAGTTAATATCATGCAATGTAAATGGATTGATGATACTTATGTAGATTCATTTATGTGGTAATAACAGACAAGATATTACATTTTGAAAAGAACTATTCAAACATCCTATTGAAATTGTTACTTATAAGGTTCATAAATGTGAATTTAAATCCTCATCGGTATACATGCTAGGGGGGGTGAGGGAGCTGGGGGGGGGGAAATCGACGTGCAAACTTTAGTCTTAGTTATATATTTTAAGGGACATTTAACGACATGGGTTTCTTTCACTTTGATCATAAGCTAATCAAAAGAAATAGGATAGTTAAATCATGAGTAGAAAAAAAAGTAAAGTCTACTGTTTTGACTATCTGAGATAGCTACAGTATTGATACTGGGTGATAATTAAAGGGGAAATGAAAATTTAGACCACTACCCTATTCGAACCAGCAACCACCAGGTTTCCAGCCTGTTGCTCTACCAACTGAGTTACGAGGTTCAACTACTGACCAGATTTTTATTTCACTTCAATCACCAAGTGTTATCCCCGACAACCATATAAATTCGTGACGCGTTACTGTCACTTCATCGTACTCACACTGATTGCCTAGCGAGGAATTCTCATATGGCCAAAATGATGATCAATGTGATAATCCTCCTCTCCAATTCACTTAGATTTGAATTCGGTTGAGAAGTCCGTACTTGGCAACCAAAGTGAGTACAATCAAGCGATAGTAACGCTTCACGAATCCACATGGTAGTTGGGGAAACTCTTGGTGAATGGACTGAAATAAAAAGCTGGTCGGCAGTTAGACCTCGTAGCTCAGTTGATAGAACATCAGGCCGGGAACCCAGCGGTCGCTGGTTGGAATCTTACCGTGGTCCAAATTTTCATTTTCCCTTCAATCATCATCTAGTATATAAATGAAATGATGCTTTAAAATTGGTCGACTTCAAGGTGACTACAAATTTTGGTTCACTGGAGAGTTGATAAATGGGAGGTTTTTGGTGATTGATATACTCTATTTGTATTAACTTATGAAGAACCAAAAGAGGAAGTAAAACCTATAAGTGGTTTACGTTGACAAAATGTATCAATAGTTAAGAGAGATTAAGAACATAAGTCATAATAATAATAACAAATATTATTATTATTATTGCATGGAGCTTAATTTTACTGCCAGCAAATATTTTCAGGCTGGATAAGCTAACTAATTACTAGTAATTTGAAAATCGCATAATTGACATTGCTTTGTAGAGGATAGAATGATTCGAAAATTTTAGACAAATACTTCAGCATAAGACTCTTCAATGCCATCTATTTTCAACACATAGATTTTAACTTTTCTCGGGAATTGTACTGTATTTTAAACACTAAATTAAAATTTATTAACTTGCAATTTTCAGTTCAGTGTAATTTTTGATATAATGTAACTGTAATTCATTGGTAATAATGAAACTACTAACCAAAACATTTACCGTCAATTATGTTTTCATCTATCCTTTTTATGTCCCAACCTGAAGTCAAATTATTACCTTCTTCGTAAATCCCACTTCTTTTTGACAGCTTGTACTTACTTGTTTGTATTCTGTTGGGTTGATTTTCACGCCAAATTAATCATTTTGTGTTACGCTTCCTGGATGATTACCTACCTTTCTAATTATTTATCTATTTTTGATTGTGGTACAGTTTTTTTTCTTTCCTGTCAGTCATTTTTATCACTGCGTGAAAGTTGTAAACCAGCGTTAAATAACTTTAAAGTTTTGCTTTGAACCTACTAATTCGTCTTTGAGATGAGTTATACTGCAGAAAGATACACAGACATCTACAGTTTACATTTGCCCTCATGAATTAAACCAACAGTCAAAGACTTCATCAGTTGGTGCAGCTTTGTGTGCTGGCCAGCCTCAACACTTCGAACCTAATCAGCTTCCCTAGCATGGGATGTTGAGGTAGGGGATGGACATGCACAGTGCGTGTCCAGACCATCTCAGTCGACTTACGTTCACAACTTCATCAATTGACTTATCTATCTTGCTTAGTACACTTCACCTGACCTTAACTTTACTCACACAGTAATTCCACCGAATACGAACAATGCTACGAAGACATCTGTGATCAAAACCCAGTAGTCGCTTCTTGTCTTCTGGTTTTAACGACAGTGTCTCACAGCCATACAACAGGACAGAGGGAACTGCAGCGCAGTATACTTGCCGTTTGATGGATAGTTGGATATCTCACCAATCAGCGCCACAGGTGACATAGTTCAGCAAATGCTAAAAGGGTCTTCTGTCTCTGAGATGAGATTTGGTCAGAAACCAACCCGTTCTGGTTGTTGCAGCTCCCCGGGTAAGTGAAGTGGTTCACACATTCCACCACTTGACTCCCTAAGATCACACTAGGAGTGGTTGAAAAAACCAGTCCTGGGGCATCATCTTATTGTAGAAAAGTGAGTTTTAGTGCAGAAGTAGTAATTTTTCTGTATCCAAGGAAGATTCATTCATATTTATTTAACTGATGCTTACTCTTAAAGACTTATTTGGCGGTTCACATCACTGGTTGTTTCATGACATCTTGAAATCTGATGAAGTTAATGTACAAATCAGTTACATATTGATAGATACACATATTACACACAACATAATATTGACAACAAGTAATAACGTAAAAATAAACCGTACACCGAAAGATGCCATGTTGTCATCTAAACATTAAAGATTTCATTACATTTAATAAGATTTTAAAAAAACCAAATTATATCTATGTGGAAAATGAAATGGTGAGTAGCGATCACGTGATGATAACAAGTGGACAAATAGAGGAAAATAAACTAATTGATAACACATTTATAAGTATGAGGTAACCTACCCAACTGATATAAAAAAGAAACCCGTTTAACTGTTGATAATAATTATGGCGTTGAGTAAAGAAGCCAATGTTAGTGACTAAGTGTAAGCATCCAACAGGACACAATATTCACAACCATGCAATTATACCCTTCTTTTGAAATATTATCCCCTTAACTTTGTTGATTTTTCTCTTGTTGTTATTGTGTTCGAATAGAAATGAGATAGTTTTCAAAAGTGTGGATAAATACTTAAAAGTATTAAAAGTTTGTTTTGTTTAAAAAAAAAAAACCCAAGTGAAAATGGGATAAATGTGGTATTTATTCAGAAATGGAATGTATAATTTAATAAAGTGAGAATAATTAAGAAGAAGGAGATGCCTTAGTAAAAAGTAGTTGTAAGTAGTATGAATACACTGTGTCAGGTATTTTTCACAGGTAACAAACTGAAAAGAATTGTTGTCTTAGTGATTGAGCAAATTTATCATTGTCAGGATAGTTTCTATTTCGTTTATGAAATGAACCAATGGATGATGAATATAACTTGGTAGCTGGCGGAAATATATTTATATATATATATATATGAAGTGAAAGTTGAGATGAATAGTTCAATTATACAGATTTCTATGTTAAGCTTTCCTTAGGGTAAAATTATCCGATTCAGTAATATTAACTAGTGAGAAATATTTCATATCGACAATTCCTTTAGACTTGAAATGTTAATGATGATCTCGTTTTCTTTTGGTTTAAGAGAGGAAATCTATTGTATGAGAGAAAAGACTAGAAATATAGCACTTTTTCTACTATATGAAATTATTAATTTCTTAAGGAAAAATCCCTTTATATATGAACAGGGAGATGTGTGTATATAGTGACAAGTAAGGCTATGTAGTAATAATTATGTTGATTACAGGAAATCTAGAATAAATTAGTGCTGTCTGAGGTAGCTGTATTAAATGATTGCTTCAATGGAGGTGGTGGAGCAGGTGGTTTACTTGATCTTCTGCCTTGATTAGATGAACGATTTGATGGTCGAATTCTGCTACTGACATTAACACTGGAATCTTGATGGATAAATGAAGGTGTTACATTACTTTGGGGATCTGAAATATCTTCAACATTATAAGGAGATCCTGATATAGTAGGACTTTCACTTTCTTTTTCATCTCCACCTTGTATCCAACTGGATTTAATCCAGTCTTCCAGTTCTGAATTCAGTGGATGTCGTATAGTTTCATTTGCACCTTGATAAGGATTACCTAGATGTGTACTATAAATATTTTCTTCAGTATGAACCGTCTGTACTTCAGTAACCGTTCTATCCTCTTTCTGTTCGTCTATCTGTCTGCCACTGTTGCTGTTATTACCGTGACCTTTTTTATGTGCATCTAAATCCAGTCTCAATAGAGGATGATCTTCGGGAGTTTCTTCCCATAAACCATTCGGTGTGATTGCTGTAGTGGTGGACAGGTCTGTTAAGTCAGTGGATTGTTGTTGTTGTTGTTGATAATGATGTAAGTTATTATTCTTAAATGAATGTTCTGATTGTTTATTCTTTCTAGATACGTGTTGTTGATTAAATATACCATCTTTTGACTGACGATGATATTGTTGGCGAATTAGTGCTGCTATACCGCCACGTTCATCTTCTGATTCATCTCGGCCACTGAAAGCACGTACAACTTTGAGCTGATAATTATCAATCGATTGGTTTTAGGCCGTCAAACGGAAGCAGATTCAAGAAGTATATAAGTTAGGTAGACGAACGTTGAACAGGTAGTGACAGCATAGTAATGAGGATATAATGTGAAGAATAAAGACATGTGTGGTAATAATGAGGAAAAGTAACATATACCCGTAACCAAAACAAAGTGTCAAACGTAAAAACAAAGTAGCACATATGTAATATATATATATATGTACATATATACATGTAAATGGGACGAGAACAAATTTACACACCAACCAATATATTTTCACATTTACAACGAAAACATAGAAAATAGGTAACGAGAGAGGGCAAGGTAGAGAGGGAAGGAAATAAAGAAAAGAAAATAAGCGTAAGGCTTTTTGTTACTATTCACAATTTCTTTTAAAAACAAACAAAACAGGCAATGTTAACTTTCTGTTTACCATTAAAGTTTTGGAGATAAATCTCTTAAACTTTGTTTGGTAAATAGATAGTCAACGATATATGCATAAATATATGTATTTATATACAAGTTAATTTATTCAATTTAATCTATAAATATCAAAGGTCAATGAGCCACACCTGTTACGCAATGACTACCTGGCTAGCCGAACGTCGATAGGTGGAGCGGGGTTCAAACCCACAACCGATTGGATTATGATCATCTCCCTGAACATAATACCGCTAATACGTTTTTGTTCATGTATATCCAACCAACAACAACAAGCACCAATCACCATCAACGGGAGGAACCTAAAGGAAGTAGCCTCTTTCACCTACCTAGGCAGCATCGTTTCAACTACAGGCGGCACAGGCACAGATGAGAACGTTAATGCCAAGATGGGAAAGACAGAAAAACAAGCCTCCCTTTATTAATCTGAAACCAGTGTGCAGACCTACTGTACTGCACTGTACTCAGCATAAAACATAAACAAGGTGTAGATTTGCAACACTAATGTCAGTCAAGTCAGTGCTTCTATGTGATGATCGAGAGACTTGGTGCGTCGCGAAAAGCATTTCCAACAAACTTCAGACATACATCAACAGCTGCAGCCTACGCTCACACGATACTGAAGATCAGATGGCAAGAAAAAGCAACAAGGAACTCTGGCTGGCTGGCAGCGAAGCAAGAACCCATCGCCTAACATATATGCAGAAGAAAGTGGAGATGGATTCGGGCATACACTGAGAAGACCGACTGAGGACATCATGCGCCAGGCCAGACCGTTGAGTGGAACCCGAATGGGAAACGACTAGTTGGGCGTCCGAAGGTGAGATTGAGGAGATCATGTGAGGAAAAAATGAGAGTTTATGGTCAGTCGTGGAATCAGGTTGAAAAGACTGCAGAGAAGAGTGAAATGAAGACGTGCTACTGAGGCCCCCTATGTTCCACTAGGAACCCAAGGAAGAAATAATAAAATGATAATAAATAAACATAAGGACTAAATAATCATTATTATGTTACAAGGTTTCAGTTCAAACTTACACAACTTCTGTATCATTAAAGATACTTATTTAAGTCACCAGTATTGTCACTTTTTGTCATAAATATTGGGTGTAAATCTAAGTGAAATTAATAATCATGATGAGAAATACAGAAAGTGACTATCGATTGAATCATATGCTCAACTCAATAATTTACCGAAGACACGTCTTTGAATTTCTGTTCTGAACATTGAGAACACATGTGTTAGCAATTCAGAATGAAATGAACTGATTGAAGACTCTTCACTAATCTCTTACGATCTATATTCTAAGATAGGTAGGTATCAATGAGTAACTATTAGAAGTATTATGTGCCGTTTTTCCTTCAGGTCACTTAGGTACAACATTCTGCTATACTATTTACCCTGGAAACACTGATGCATAGATTTATTGCTGTACTGTGCTGAACTGCAGTTCCCTGTAACAATCATACGTCTTCGGAAGAATAATCTTTAGTGAATTGATTTTCATCTTCAAGAATCGATGACATTTTACACTCATATTCGATTTCATCCATGATCACGACACCTGAGCCTTTGTCAGGACTGAGGATAATAATATCGGGGTTCTCTCGTAGTTCCTTCATAGCTCTGAATTGTTTAGAAGTTAGAATGCTTTTCTGGTTCTAATGGCTATCACAAAACTGATGGGCGATATCCATCATCTTGGCTTTCAGTCATCCCTGATCCTCAACTGAAGTTGGGAGGGCTAATAGATTCATGCAAGTAAGAGCCTCGGAACATATTCCAAAGTGGCTTCAGAAGCAAATTAAATCACCTGAACCCATAATGTTGGTAGCAGACATCCAAGCTCTTCGATCGCCAAACATATCGTTGAGACAGGCCACTGGATTGATGTAGCTACTTCCTTTACACCTATTTACAAAACATGTTGGGGAGGGATCCTAAAATTTGTTGAGGCCTAAGCTATTAGGAAGTTGAAACCATTTTTATGTGTTCATAAACAATTTGTTGTCACATTAAATCTTCCTTGGTAAATTCAACTATTGAAAACGAAGTCCGATGTACTATTATTTTTCGCCCTATTGATTTTCATTGTTATTCGGCCTTCCTACCTGACCTCTTCATTTTCTCATCCCTTATCTTCATGAATTTTTATATAAATACCTATGACAAGTACTTGTGTGATCAGATAGTTCGAAATGTGTTGCGCAGATACATTACACGGTTCAGACAATTTACGTCTTCTTACTGTTTTGTCGATGTGTGAATTACTCTTTTTGATACATAACTAAGTATATTAATAGAGATTGCTCAGTTTATTCAATGCTAATCAACAACTTTGTGTTTATTTCCCATTCTTATGTTTCATGTTTGGACTGTATTGGCATTTTGGTTAGAAGAAACAACTTGAAGGGCAATATCTATTTGTTCCCCTTGTTTCTGTTGTGAACCTTGATATTTTATGTTGAACATGTCACCGATAAGCCGAGTAAATTTGTCCCATAGAGGCTGTTTGGCATGATGACGAGCAATCAAAGTGGAACATTAGCATTCAAAGAAATAAACAAACTTTTATGTACACGGTCAATTCAATTACAAATAAATACTGGTTTTTGTTTTATCACACTTTAAACCCTACGGAAAGTTGGTTAGCATTTACGCCTAATCAGTTGTGTATTGCTTCAGTAAGCCAGTCAGGTGACAGAGAGAGAGAGAGACGCATTCAGCTAAGTAATGCACACCCATGCAGTAAGTAACTAGCCACACCTATTGTAGGAGGGCTTTGGATACTGCCTGACTGCTTAAACCTTGATAGGTATAGTAGGATTCGAACCCCTGTCCTAATGGTTGGTAGTCATATCCCTAAACCATCGATCCACAGCTCCAGTCAGGTGTAAATGCCTGTATCTGTACGAACACGTACTCTTTATATATATATATATATATATATATATATATATATATATATATATCATGGAGAGATTTATTTCTTCTTCCTAGATTTCGGTCAAATAGAGTGTAAACCGATGGTTTTAATCGGTTTTGTCACTTCATTATTTCTGGTTTGAACATCCATTTGTGACCCGTTTCTATAATATATGTTTGGTTTTATATAAATGACGAAGGTTGTCCTTCACCGGAGCTTATCAAAGTTTCACACTGCATTTATTTTTGATTTTTTTTCAGTTCCACACACGGAAATTTCTCATTTGGGTAATGATGCTCCGTTTAAGTATCTTGATGATCAGTTGAGTTCTCTTCTCTCAACATCTTCAGATAATCAAAGTTGGTTAAAGGCTAAGTTAGTTGATATTACTTATCAATTTCGTAGTTCAGAAACAAGGCAAAAAAGCATTTTGAATTCATAGTAATTTGAATCTTTGACGGACTTGTGGGACGGATCTAACGTAATCACTCTTAAACCCCATAAGGGACCAGCCATTGTTGTGATGAATAAATATAACTGTAAAAATAAAATGTTATTCATCATTAGTGACGAAAGCAAATTCATAGCTAATGTTTCATCATAAGATATTAAAAGATTGGCAGCGAAAATAACCGTTAATTTAATGAAACTTGAATACCATTAGTAAAAAGGAATTCAATTCACTGAAACCTATAAGATCGCAATTCCCAAGTTTATATGAATCGCCTACGAGTAATGAAACTAATAGTCGCTTATTATCCTTAATATTGTCTTTGTCTTGTTTCCCCACACATAAGGTAGAAAAATAGTTAGCAAATATGTTAAATCCAGTTCGAAACAAATTCTGTACAGTTTCATTGAAAGATACTTTTCGACTTGTTGACAATCTTAGTAAAATAAATGTCAAAAACAAGACTATGTACACTTTTGATGTAAATTTTTTATTCACTAGTATGCCGTTATTCAAACTATTAACACTCTTTGTTACTATGTATCTTCTAGAAACCTTCTATTCCCTATTAAGCCAACTTTTCTCAAGGAACTATGTTTGCGATACATCGACAAAATTCATTTCACATTTGAAGGTAAACACTTTAGGTAAGTTGACGGTATAGCTATGGGAAATCCCATAGGTCCATTACCACGTGATATTCATATGTCACATATCGAAAATTTGGCTGGTGATCTCATCTCTAAATTTTCCGTTTATAAGAGATATGTCGATGACACCATAATGAGAAGCATGAGGATATGGCTTATGTACTGAAAAGACTTAACATCTTACAAACTCATATTAGCTTGACTTGTGGGAAACAGAATAACGATCATTAGCCATTCTTAGACGTACTTCTGATTCAACGAGGTGATGTGTTAATAGGATGATCAGCTTACAGAAAGCCTACATGGACAGGACAATATCTGAATTTTCACAGTTTTTGTCCTATCCAATACAAGCGGGGTCTAATAAAATGCGTATTTAATACACGTACATATGATGCGATGAATGAAGATATCAAATTACTGACTAAAACACTCACGGAACACCGGTATCCACTGTAGTTTATAAACCGAAGTCAACTGTATACACGCTTCCTAAGTAAAGCGTCTGTATCACTGTGCCATA